CACACACTCACACTCTCACACACACACTCACACTCACACTCTCTCACACACACACACACACACACACATCAGTCACAGCTCCTAAACACAACTCATTTAAAAAAAATAATATTTATATATTTACTAATTATATGTAATTTATCTATAATATTTAAGCAATATACATGTTTATTGTGTAATCGTTAGTTGCCTTTTTATTTTAATATTCAGTATTGTTTAATAAATATTTATTTTAAAAAAGCAATACATTTTTTTTTAAGTAATGTAAAGTGTTATATAATATATAGCGATATGTCGTTTAGTTAATATTAATTCATTTTTTAATAATTTTAATTTTATAATTAAGTATTTAAGTAATATACAATAGTTTAATAGTTAATTGTCATATTTCATATTTAATTGTAATTTTATAATTATAATATCAAGCATATAAGTATTATACAGTATGTTTAATATTTAATTGTCAATTTGTTAATATTTAATATTTAATTAAATTTTATAATTATAATATAGTATTTAAGTAATACGCAGTATGTAACATACAGTGTATATATTATAAAGTTATTTACAATGAAGATATATATATCCGTATATGTAATGAAGTAATGTTTTAAATGTAATTGTGGTCAGATCCTGAACGCGGCGTATAACGTGGAGGTGACCTTCCACTCGGGCTCCTCCGTCACGAGGCTCTTCTGGGAGCAGATCAAGCAGGTAGGTTACCCAGAATGCCCTGCGCTGGCGTGTCTGCTGCGGCGGCTGATGCTCGTCTCTCCTCAGATCATCCACCGCATCACGTGGGTCAATCCTCCGTCCGTCTCGGCCGAGTGGAAGCGCAAGGTCGCGCAGGACGCCATCGAGAGCCTGAGCGCCGCCAAACTGGCCAAGAGCATCTGCTCTCAGTTCAGGACCCGACTCAACAGCTCCCACGAGGCCTTCGCCGCCTCACTCCGACAGGTGATTCTGCAGCGCGTACTCCTTCTAGGTGCATTAGCAGACTCTGCACTTTAATCTCACGCCATTGAGAAACACTTGAAAACCACAAGCCTCTGTTTTAATTGACCTAGTGTCATGCTATTATATTTTTCTTAATATATTTTGAAGTACTGTTTAAATATTTAATTTTAACAAAAATAAGAATTATTATTTTAATTATTTTAACATATAATTTGTATTATTATTGAATTTGTCTTTTGAGTTCATTAGTTTTAATTTACTTTAATATTTAAATTGTTTTATATATTAAAATGGTAATATTTCACTTATTTTATCATTTAGATTTTATATTAATATTTTATATATTGTATTATAAATATATATACACACACACACATTTATTTATTTGAAGAGTTCATTTGAAAAAACAGAACTCCATTTTTAAACATTTTCAAAAATCATGTTTTTTTTTTCTATTGTGCATTCCAAGTAATCTGAGGTTGGGTTATTTTGATTAGGATACAAATAACTAAAAAATGCCGCTAACACAATAAAAACATGATAATGTAATAAAAAACATAATAAACATTTTTTTTTGCAAATAAATAAATAATTTCATTCATATACAATATCTCCAATAATGCTTAATATTAAATATGTTATTACATTTTAGATTTTAAAATATATTATTTTACATTACATTATTTCATATTATGAATATTTTTGTTGTATTTTTTGTAATTTATTATTTACATGTATTATATTATGTATGTTTTTTGTGTTTTATTATAATATCTAAGTTATATTTAATATATTCATTATGTTTACTATTCAGTTAATGTTACATTTAATTTTTGATATTTTATTGTAATTTTTTGTAAATGCTATTTTTGTTGTATATTAGTTTTGTCTGTTCTATTAAGAGTCATTTGTGTTGTTACTGTGATGAAAGTCCTGTACTGATGAGTGTGTGTCTGTCTGTGTGTGTGTGTGTGTGTGTGTGTGTGTGTCCTCAGGAAAGCCGAAGATGGGCCGTGAGCTGGGCCGTGGTCAGTACGGTGTGGTGTATATGTGTGATAGCTGGGGTGGACGTCACCCGTGTGCCCTAAAGTCAGTCGTTCCTCCTGACGACAAGCACTGGAACGACCTCGCGCTGGAGTTCCACTACACACGGTAACGCCACTCCAGTGCAGTGTTTCTAAGTACATTTACTAAAAATTATGATCATAATAATACTTATGTAATTATATTCTTTTTTACTAATTTTTATTGAAAGAAAATAATAGTTCTTTGTTTTTTTAATGTTTTTAATTGATTATTATTTAAATAATAATAATGATAGTGCTCATAATTTTTAATATAATTATTAATTGTAATTTGACTGTTATTTTTATTATTGTAATTATCAGTTGTATTTTTAGTAATTAATGAGAACTAGTAATTGTTTTTTTATTCATTAAATTTTTATTCAATACAAATAACAGTAGCATTTGTTGGGGTGTTTTGTTGTTTAATCATTAAAGTTCTCTGTGTCCATCAGGTCTCTGCCTAAACACGATCGTTTAGTGAATCTCCACGGGTCGGTTATCGATCACTCGTACAGCGGCGGCTCAAGTATTGCGGTTCTGCTGATCATGGAGCGATTACACAGAGACCTCTACACGGGACTGAAGGTACCATCACGACACCGGCTGTTTGTCTGTTCTTCCGTCTGTGGTTGTGATTGGCGTGTCTGTCTCTCTCAGGCCGGTCTGTCTCTGAAGGAGCGTCTTCAGATCGCTCTGGACGTGGTGGAGGGGATTCGGTTCCTGCACAGTCAGGGTCTCCTGCACCGCGACATCAAGCTGAAGAACGTTCTGGTGAGGAACTGCGTCCACCATCTGATTCTCTGTGACGAGATCCCATCATAAGGCATCATAACACTTCATAATGCATTATAGTGCTTCATAGTTCTCCATAACGATCATAGTGCTTCATAATGCATCATAATGCTTCATAACACATCATAGTGCTTCATAATGCATCATAACACTTCATAATGCATTATAGTGCTTCATAGTTATCCATAACGATCATAGTGCTTCATAATGCATCATAATGCTTCATAACACATCATAGTGCTTCTAAACGCATCATAACACTACGTAAAGCATCATAGTGCTTCATAACGCATCATAGTGCTTAATAAAACATCATAACACATCTTTGTGCTTCATAACGCTTTGTAGTGCATCATAGTGCTTCATAATGCATCATAACACTTCATAATGCATCATAGTGCTTCATAACGCATCATAACACATCATTGTGCTTCATAATGCTTTGTAGTGCATCATAGTGCTTCATAATGCATCATAACACTTCATAATGCATCATAGTGCTTCATAACGCATCATAACACATCATTGTGCTTCATAATGCTTTGTAGTGCATCATAGTGCTTCATAGTTCTCCATAACTCATCATAGTACTTCATAATGCATCACAGTGCTTCATAACACACCATAGTGCTTCACAACGCATTATAACACTTCATAGTGCTTTATAACGCATTATAATGTGTGTTTGTTTTCTTCTGTGCAGTTGGACAGACAGAACCGGGCGAAGATCACTGACCTGGGCTTCTGTAAACCCGAGGCCATGATATCCGGCAGTATCGTGGGGACGCCCATCCACATGGCACCGGAACTCTTCACAGGTCACTAACCGCTTAATGCTCGATTGATGGTTGATTTGAGTTTTTAGTGTTTAGTCTTTTATTTGTTTAGACCTAACAGTATACGATTTTAACATCAGGTGATAAATTATGAGTTTTTAATTATTTTGACATTTTAAAAATGTAGTGTCCAATTTTAATATCAGTTGATAAAAATTATTTTACAATTTAAATATTAACTTAATGGCAATTTTATTTAGAAAAAAATAGTCTGCGATTTTAATACTGGACAGCAAAATGAACCATCTTTAAATTATTTTGGAATTGAAAATGAAAAAAGCACATTTTTATGTTATGAAAATGAAGTTACTGTAGTTATTGTTTACATTAGTCTTCTGACGGCACGTGTGTTTGTTTATTTCGCGCAGGAAAGTACGATAACTCCGTCGACGTGTACGCGTTT